TTAAATTTTACATAGCATTTTTTGACACATACAAGAGTCCTTAACAAGGACACAGTCCTTGTTTAAAGCTTCAGTAGAAAGCTTTCTATGTTTTTTTTCGGTCATGCGCAACATAACGCCAACATTTAGCCGTTCTTGTATCTTAACTTTACTTTATAAATGTTTTATAATATGTAAAATATGTATTTTTACAATGTTGATTATGACTTATAAATAAATAAATAATTTATGTATCAATTTCATTTAAACCTAATTTATATTTTTATAAATACAATTTTAAGAACAGAATTAAAGATGCTATTTCTTTTTTATACCCATATATAAACTAGCAAAGAACAGCTACCCAAATTGAAATTAATACATTTTTAACCTAGTTATGGCTTATTTAAACATTGATTTGCTTTAAAAATTATCATATAACAAGAAAGGAAGCTAAGTTCTAGCCATCAGAATATAGATTCCTGCTCACATTTAAAATCCTAATTAATAATATTAATTTAATATTATGAAATGAATTGTTTTTTTGCCTTAGTTATAATTAAGTTCAACTTTGGCCCCTAATCCCAACTTTGCAAACTTTCTAAAGCTATCTTTCTTTATTTTTATCCATATAATAAAATCTATTTAAATTTTCGCTTTTTAACAGGTGTACTTACCTTCCTAATTAACCAATCAACTGTAATTGGTTCCCCAATTGACCAATAATCGCTTCAATATGCGGAAAAGCCACCTTGAAGGTTGTCCCTGTCACCAAAGTCCCTCGATTGACAGGACCATGAAAGCGCTTTCTCTGGTATAATTACAATTGGCATTTTAATGAGGGTTGGCACCTTTTACCGAAGGTGGCATTGAAATTGGTTAGATAAGGAATTTTTCAAGGCCAATCAGGGTCTTTTTAATAAAACAAGTTCAAGTAATACATGCAGGTAAAATACAACCTTTGCATTAAATATTAATAACTAAACACATTTGTTATGTGTTTAACAATTTGATTATAAAATATTCTTGCAAAGTAGTTCTTATCAGTAATTCCATTTGAAAACTTTACTAACAAAATCACCAAATTACATGCAGTTAACCCATTACAGTTTAAAATATATATTTTTCTTTCGGGTGTTAACTTAACCACTAACCGTCTGATTTAAGTTTGTGGTTTTGCGGTTGAGCTACAAGTGCTTTAATCCGGTTTTTGAATTGCAAGCTTGCAGCACGTTGGCTTTGACACGACCTACAACGTACGTCGCAGGGGGAACCACAATTGAATTATAAAGTTTATCGCATGCAATTCACACAAGCAGCGGCACGAATGCATTTTTAACAGGCATCGCAGGACTCGCAGAAGTCCTGTCCCCCTGCCAAAACACCCCGTCGCCACTTTTGAAAGCATTCCTTTGTGCATTTCTAAGCGGAGGAGCTGAAACATTCTCGACAGCAATGCGAAATGTTTTCCAGCTGCCAAACTGATTCGCAGCTGTCTTTCGTGATGAAAGGATTCCCCATCAGAATAAATTCAATGTTGTTCAGCTTCAGCTTTAGCTTCCTTCAATCCCATCTACAAAACGTGGCCTTTAATTAATGACTTTAAGCCGTAATCAATGTACTTCCCTGATTAGCTATCGCTATCGTTTTATTGCGCATACGCCACGTGTGCCGTTTAAGTACCCACGGAAGCTCTTATCCAGCGCTACCTTTGGCAAACGAAACAACCAAAGAAAAAAAAGAGAAGCTCATTAAATTGTTCCCGAAACTTTAAGGCAAAACTCTCGATTTATGGCCCCCATCTAAGTCCCACGATCTTGATAGGAAGAGGCATATGATGAGGCGATGGGACAAAAAAATACCCGAGGTCAGCGCTCGATTTCCATTCCTTCGAGCAATTGCTGCCGTCTGAGACAGATTTGGACCGTGCTTATTTGTACAATAGCCCCGGCGTTTTGTCTTAAGGACCGCACTTGGCAGTTTTAGCCAAGCCACAGACACACAAAAGCCGCAGACCCACTCCCACTCGCCCTCGCACTCACACTCCGCACTGTCAATAACTTAGAGTCTGCTGTCCCCGACATTGTCAGACCGGGTCCCGCCTCCGGACTACGTTATTCAATTATGCAAAGAGCAGCAACAATGCGTTTGGCAACATGAAAATTATGTTTTTAATTTTTAAGCGCACAAAAACAAATGGTTAGGGGGGAAAAAAAGGGCAACACAAAGAGTCCCAGGCAAATTGGCCGACCACCAAACGCATCAAAAAACATTAAAAAGTCAGGAGTGTGTTTGCAAAAAGGCAAAAACACTAACTATACACACTCAAAACAACACGCTTGAAAGTATGAACAGTGGAGCAAATTTACTGGAAAGCTATTAAAAATGTTTGAAATGAAGATTGTTAAAATGTTTTCTTAAATTGTAGAGTGTTTTTATTTTATTCAGAAGCTTGAAATTAAGTGAGGGAGTCATTTCCGACCCCATAAATCATATATTTTCTTGATCAGCATTAAAATCTGAATCGATTCAGCCATGTCTGGATAAAATTTATTTTTCTCAATAAATTTCGAAATTCTGAAAATTTTATAAGGGGTTACATCATTAAAATTGTCAAATTTTGACAAAAATTCGAATTTTTCAAATTTTTATATTGAGTATGCAGATTTGTTAGCCTGTTAAAAACTAGCACAAAACAACTTTCCGATTTGAAATTGAAGCATTTTCGCCTAAGTTATGATAATTTTTTAAGCTTTTATTTGTCAAAAAATTGTAATTGATTAAAGAATGCGAACTAAGCTTAGTTTTGCCCAATTTTCCAATACAATTCTGTAATTCAATTGCAAACTGGAAAGGTATATAAACTTTGGCTTCCCAAAGTAAGGTTATTTTTTTGTTAAAGCCTTAATCTTTATTATATTTTAGAGTGCAAAAAGTGAAGCATGGTGGCAATAAGAAATATAATTTTAATTTACAATTAATAATACAAACCTTTTGAGTTGGTCTTTGTATTCTTCTTATCTTAACCCACAGTGGCTTAAACCTATTTGCTAGCCATCTAGCCAACATCAGCTGGCACTTAAGTGCCCAGGACACTGACCAGGACAAACGTTTGGGAAGCCAGGAGCGGAGGGACACACAGCAGACACCGGCAGCAGCACATAATCAAGAGGTTTTCTCTCTTTTTTTTGTGTTAGATCCAGGGCACCAGCAGCGGGCAACGCACTAAATCGGATTACCCCAGAATTATCCTTGTTGGCATTTATTTAGGCCATGGCTTTGACGCACACACACAGCAGGCAGGAGCAACTTGTTTGCTGGCCACTCAACTCCATTCCAGCTCCCACAACACACACACACACATCAAAAAGAAAGCAAAAATATATATATGTATATAAACAAACGAGAGAAAATAAAAGTAATGTCAACTTCCGTTCTGCTTAGGCAACTTTTGACGCCGTCCTTTCGCCTGCTGTTTTAACTTCCCGCCGCCGTGGTTCTTGCTTTTTGTTTACTTTGAATTGCAAATTCCTCTTCTTTTCTCCCACTCTCTCTCTCTTAAGGCAGTTTTACGTTTTATTTTTGTTTCATTGTGGAGCATAATGAGCCGCGAGTGCTGCCACAGCCAGAGAATGCGTGCCCCATTGTCATTTGGCAGTTTACACTCGGAGAAAAGGGAATAAATGGTAAACTATGAGGGGAAATATTAACTTTTGAAATAAATTTTGCTTTATTCTGAATAATAAATACAAATTTGTATGCCTGTAGATTGATTTTAGCATTTTTAAGACAGGAAATAGGACCTCAGTTTGTTGTAAAAGTCAATTAATGTGATTTAGGGACTCTTTTAAAAGAAGTTTATATATAGTTACCTTGAAGTTCAATTTGTATATCCTTTTTTACCCTCTCTGCACTGTCTGGAGTAGGCATTTGAATGCGGCAAGGAGTACATTGCCCAACCAGAGGCCTCTTGCCACGTAAATCTATTAACACCTCACGTCCGACTGAAGGATAAGCGCGCTCCACAGTACAGAAACAACAAGAGGGGCAGAGAGCCAGGACACAACCACAGTCAATGTCATTGAGGAAGGTGTCGAGTGTTGTGCGTGCTGTGCGTGTGAGTGAGTGTGAGCGTGCGGTAAATGAAGCATTTTGGCCAAAATGGCACGTACTCGCCGAAGGATTTCGTCCCCTTCTGGTTGCCACTACCACTTCGGCGGCTGGTTACCACATCAAAAGGCAATCGCTGCCGTAACTTTCCAACTAATTTACATAGGGTTCGGTTCTCTCAACGCCGAACCACACTGATGCCAACCTACGTGACCATGCAATTTGCATTGGGCCTGGATGCGTGTGTGTGTGTGCTGCAACTTTTAAGCCAAGTCTTTGGCGCTAAACCAGGGCTAAGCTGATGCTGTCAGATGGTGCGTTTAAAGTAAACAAGGGATCCAGGGTCCCTTTCGCATTTACTTGGCATCCGTTTAAGATTGATTAAGACGTATCTATTGTCGAACACGTTGGCTTGTCCTTAATGCCTTGGCACGTAGAATGGCACCTCCCCAAGTGCTGTAAGCCAACAATTTTATATAGCAAGTTAAGGGGTATGTTTGAGAGGTTTATGAAGATTTTACGATATTATGGCGGGTCAGCAGTATTATAGTTGCAAATAATCCTTGGAGTTAATTATTAAATAAAAACTTAAAATTTTAAAGGCTTTCCTTAACGATATAGCTTATATTTAAAGCTGCCATTTCCTCGTCCTGGGTAGCAACTCTTCGAGGTCCTTACACAACGGTAAGAAACCATCTTGATGCCATTTTTTCGCTGCCATACATATAGATGTGTTCGTATCGTGGCTCGGGTGTTCGTGATAAAATCACATCTATAAACATTAATCGCTCTTTTATGAAGTGTAATAAATTTTGCGTTACACGTTCGGTTGGAATTTAACGCTCTTGGGCCCTTTTCCCGATGCTTAAAGCCTTCCAACTGAAGGGGAAATAAAGGTAAGTTGTGGCAAGTTTAGTTTCTCTAAAAATAGCTTTATTCATATTTGATTGGTACCCAGTTCGGTAATTGGTTTCGGTTTTGTGTTTTTAGTTTTTAGTTACTTGTTGCTAGTGTGTGTGGTGTGATTTTTTGAGTTACTTCTCAGTGGCATTTAGTTGCAAAGAACATGAACAAACATTTAATAAATACATTCAGATAATTCTTATATGAATATCATATAACAATCACGATTGGTTGATGGAATACTTATACTTCGAACGGTCTAAGCAATTTTTACATTCATATACAGATAAATAATTATCAATATTATAAACATTATGTCCAGCTATCCTCCTCTAAAGACGTGTAAATTTGTTTGGTGTTTGATTTATTCCTAGAATCGAGTTAATAAATAAATAATCTGCACTACGTTTCGCTATTAATGAGAGACTTCTCTGTACTTTGTCCTATTTTCATGTATGTTTAAACATTTGCAAAGCACTTGTCCCATTGTGTTTTTCGGATGTCCTTACAGATTTTTTACAATTTCATTGTCATTTCAGCGGTCCATACAATTGCTGTTTGCACTACAAATTGATTTACAATGTTAAATAAATTGTGCCTGCTGCAGGCTACCAAAAAAATAATTATTTTCGTATATATATCGTGCCATTAATTGTCATTAAGTATGCGAAAACAAATGGACAAAAGGTACGTGCACTCTGAATGAAATATGCATTCAATTGAGAATTTGTTTTCATTTTAAAACAGCAACAGCTTATGCATTTTTCATAAGCTCCGTTAAAAATCATATTTTTATAAGCGAAAAATAAAATGTTCATAGTTATTATGTCCTTGAAACCCGGTAAAAACATTCTTGTTAATGTTTGCAATTAAATAAACTGAAATAAGCAGCTTTCGGTGAATATTTTACCACACAAAATGAAAGTATCTTGCTTTAATTCTATTAGTTTTGGTCAGTTAATATAATTATTTTCGGTACCTACTTGTCTGAACTCTATGCATGATTAATTCTAACTTATTTCCGACAAAATCTACTCTGTTGTGCTAAACCAAGGTAATTGAATATTAAATAAGATTCATCTAAACTTATAATTATTTCTCTTCTGTAAACGGGATATTGAGTTTGTTAAACCTCGTTTTTTAAACAGATTCAGGTTTAGTTTTATTTGTATTTATTATTGGTCACATGTTGCTCGTTTTGTTCTGGCATTTTAGGTACTGTGCAGAGTTCACTTTGAAAACCGTGAAATGAAACGGAAAACGGAAACCTAGAGACACTCATCAATTACGATACTATTTGGTTAAATATTTGTATGTTAAATATATATGTTTCTGTCTGTGAGAGTATGAGTTAACAACTTGTTTGTTATTGCTTTCATTTAACACTTGCCTGGGCACTCAGGCTTTCAACTTAATTACGAAGGCTACTTGGACTACAACTAACTGCCTCCGCTTGCCCGCTCCTTTCCTGCCTAATCTTAATGTTAACTCAAGGGTTAGGATCATGCTGAGATAACCTCGGGATGAATGTATGTATGTTATGTTATGTTTGGGTAGTTTTGCTGGGGTCTATACAGTTGACTACGATATTTACTGGCCTAAAAAGTCTTAACTGCTCCGTGAACTTCCTCTATATCGGTGTATATATATATATAGTATATAGTATATATCCATTGACTTTACATTAATATTGTATATGCAGCATAATTAACTTTGATTATACACATGTCTCTGGGAGAAGAAGAACCTTGCATTCCTGGCATCCTTTGACCTTTGATTATGTCACCATGCTAATTGAGTGTTCCTCCTCCTTCTTGGCTAAGAACTCTGGATTTCCTTCGTAACTTCTCATTAGGCGCTAGTAATTGATATAAGTAGTGGGCTTAGTTCGTCTCGGACTAAACACTGTCCGCCTGCTCTCAGAGATAGTTGGGCCTGGAGACGCAGCAGAGCAGGCTCATGTTCTTGCATATGTAGTTCTGGCGACGTTTGGCCTGCCAAGGTCCGGTTGTGTCCAATGCCGCATTGCGTTCTACAAAAAAACAGACGAAAAATAAATATATTTCACTTGAATAAAAATAAAAATAGAATATGGATTTCTTCCGAATTTTTCTTTAAAAAGTAAGCAATAGTTTGCTTTTTGTGCATGGCCTGTGATTGTGCCCTATTTTGTATGCTACACTTTTTGGTTTGCCCCACGGCAAACCTTGCCTTGGCCAAAATACCAAAGTGCATGGCAATGGAACCTGCAGGCTCCGGCGGCAATGAGACCGTGAGCCTGCGCACTCTGCACTCCAAACTCTGAACTCACCCAAGTACGCCTCGTGCTGCGGCATATACTCCTGCATCTCGGAAAGGAGCACGGCGATATCCTGCGAGTCTTTGGTGATGCTGCATAATTCCTCCTCGTTAAAGTCGGGCGTAAATTGTTTGCACAACAAAATCTGGCTGATGACATTGCCCAGATTTGAGGGTCCAGCGCGGTTCTCTGTAAAATAAGCCAAAATATATGTATATAGGTCGGAGTCAATGAATGAAGCCAAAGTGCAGCCCCTGTCCGAGAATAAAACAAAACCATTTCTGTTTGACTTTTGCTGATGCCCGCCACAGGAACCCGTATTTATTTGTTCCATTCATTTGAATGCAAACATTTTCCTTTGACGTGTTTGCATTTCCAACTTTTATTTTTATTTATTTCCGCTCTGCCATTGCTTCATTAGCTTTGGCATTCGTTTGGGGAAACATACTAATTTTATTTGTGATACGCTTTGATGTTGGCCCTACGCCCTGCATATGTATTTTTGTAATAAAAAATACCAACAAATTGAAGGCTTTTTAAATATATTTAAAGTTTTGTAAAAATGGCATGACACATTTCCCCATAAAACTTTATTCCTTTTCAATTGCTATGGGGTTTTTTGATATTTTCCCTCTGATTGATAGATTTAGTCATCAATATTCGATCTGCTATTAATCTTCATCAGTTTTAGTCACATTAATTACTTATAGTGGCTGTCGTTTCTAAAACTTGCTGAGTTGCATGCATCCAAACATTGCAATCTATGCGATCAACCATGGGGGCGTATACGCAATATTCATATATCAAAATAAATATCACGTATACGAAACGTATGACCAGCATATATGTCATTTTTATGCTGGGTATAAATGGGTGTATTCTTTAAAAGGTTATATCTTAGAAATTTTAAGAATATTTAAAAGAGAAGTAAGGTATTAGGTAAATATTTTTGTTTAAATTTTACAAATTTTAAAGAACAAGTTTGCTGTATAATTAAGCTATTAAATTTAGTTTTTCAATTACTGATCCTTATTTTACGTTAAATACTTTAACTTTCCATTTAATTTCCACTTATATTTAGTTTAAAACTTCACATTTCCTAGAGCATCAATCATTCCCATCCTTTTTGATTTTCCAACTCTCCGGAATGCAATGAAAATTTTGCTTGCATGGCAATAATTAAAGCACATCCTCTCTTAACTCAATCCTCCGTCCCATACATTTTGGTTAGCAATTACAACGGCCAACAGATAGACACACAGACAGACAGAAAAAAAGCGTTTTCAATTTTTGCATTTTTTATTGCTTATTCTGCGTTGATGGCATTTTCATGGCACTGCAGAAATTTTGTTTGTTTCCATGGCTGAGGGGCGTCATAAATTCGCTGCATCACCAGCAAAAGCCACATTGGAAAAGCCGGAAAAGCAGAGCCTGACTCTGCCAGTGGCTCTGTAAATATTTACTCCCCCATTTTCCACAATTTTCCCAGTTTGTTGTATATGTGCTTGTGTGTGTTGACAGTGAGAAACCAGTGCCGGCGCAGTGGTTGTAATTTATAAATTTATGATCAGCAATTGGCATTTGGCATTCGCATTTGCATTTCGCCCTCGCAGAATTCGATTCCCATGGTCAGTGCCGGCGACAAATCAGTTTGGGGCTTGGCTCTGCATATTTTTGCACTGGCACGTTCACATTAAACATGGCGAAAGAATGGCAATCAAAGCCACAAACTGCCACTGCAATGGCAGCCAAACAAACAATTGTTGAACGTGCATCCAGCAAAATGCCTCAGTGTCCCTGCCTTGCATGCCGATGTCAAGGAAAATCCACACTCGTATGAGAGCCATCCAAAAATGGGGGGAAATATTTGTGCCAAAGTGCCACTACACACAAGAGTCACAAGGAATTGTGATAGGAAAATTGTCTTGGTAACAAAATATAACACTACCAGTTGGCTATAAAAATATTTATTAAATTAAAACCTAGTTCTAGGAACCTCTCGAGCATTATCCTTCGACTCCTGGCTTCTGGCCAGTGCAACCACAATTACTGTGCCCAGTTTAAACCAATTATGTGTACCGAACCAAGCTCCATTCAGCCCAAGTTCCCGCTTTCTGGCTTCGACATTTGCTGGCAACAGCAAAATTCCCAATGACCCGCAACATATATATATCGTGGGTGCGTGGGGGTTGAATTAAACTTACCATAATAGCCGGACATATCCATTGGCACGACTTGTATGAGGCGATAACTTTTCACAAGTTCACGTAGGAACAACTGGGCCATGTAGAACAGGAGCACCAAGTGCGGGTTGTCGGTGAGGATGCCATCGGCCATGGCGCTGCAAATAGCACAGGGCAAAAAATAAAAGGAAAAACCCAATGAAAAGCAATGCAATGCAACGTGAACATTCGGATTTTCATTCCATTGAAGTAGAGTGAGTGGGTGTAGGATATTATAGAACTGGAATGCCGCATTGTGTGGGCCGCATTTTGCGGCACGCCAAATAGCATGCGGAAATTGTGAAATGAAATTTATATGCATTTATGACATCTCCTTTTTAAACCCTTTTGGGGTATTATAATTATAGTTAGAAGCTTAAAACGAAAGGAAGGAATCATTTGCGATACTATAAATATAAATATTATTGATCAGCATGAACAACTGAATCAATCTACAAAGAAATTTTCATTTTTTAGCATTTTACATTGAGTATGCAGTTTTATTTCACTGATAAAAACTAGCATAGGAAAGGTTTCCGAATTGAAATTAATGCATTTTTAGCCAAGTTATGATAATTTAAATGTTCAAACTGAGAGGATATAAGCACTTCGGTTTCTTCTTTCTTTCTACTTCTACATTATATTTTTTTAGGGTCAGATATGGGGGTCATCAGCTGGCGACAAACTAATTCATTTCCGGAGTGTCGAAGGGCAGAAACAATTGTTTAAACTGGGTTCAGCTGTCCTGCTGCAGCAACAATTGATTTTTTTTGCAAACTTTTTCATTGATGAGAAAACGCTTTTGCATGCACTTGGCAGGTCAGAACAGTCAAAACTTTATAACCGATAAAAAGATGTGAATTTTTTAATCAATTAAATCTGGAAAAATATTTAAATTGAAACAGATGTTCTGTAATGTAAAAAAAAAGGGTAAAAGCTCTCAGAGAAGTGTGAATTAATTTAAAATAAATGTTTGTTTTCCCAAGAAATGAATTTTATTAAAACATAACTTTTAATAAATGGAAATCATTATTTAATTATTTAATTATTTTATTTACTTTAAGTTCCCCTGTGAGTCTCACAGCTGCTCATAACCATAGGCAAATGAGTTTCTAATTCCATGATCAACGCCTAAACGACATTTTAATTCAACTAAATTACCATTACGAAAATAATTTATGTAACTTCACGAAGCCCTCTGTAGCAGTCACAGTCACAGGGACAGTCACAGTCGCATAATTCATTTAGAAAACGCTCCAAAATTACAGTGGGGTCCGGTGCACAAATTGCTGCTTAGTTGACATTAATTTCAGTTTTAGCAGCAACTCCACAGACTGGGGCAATTATGAACGGATCCTGGGGTCTGGGGCACAAATATAAATTGCCATAAACATATTTGCAGCTACACAGGAATAAATTCAATTTGTAAATTGCTTTTGCATTGCCCAAACTCTACGCAGAGCTGGGAAATGAAAAATATATATTTTAGCAAAATAACCCCCAGACCCCGCTGAGTGGAGAGAAGGTCCTGAAAGGTCCTGAAAGTGTTGCCGTGTCTTGTGATTTCACAGTTCTCCTCCTATACCACGGCGAAAGCATTAAAGCAAATAAATTGCAAATTAATCTTTCCCCCAAGGTGTATCCTGTGGACGGGGTGTGCGTGTATGCGAGGATTTTTGTGAAAGATTTAGCTTAAAGCGATTTAGATTTAGGTTCCCTACTCCACCGAAAGTGGATTTGTTTGGGGGGCGCTAAGGACACTCATAACTGGGAAAGCTATTTCTATGGAATATACCCCACAAGCAAAGGAAAACATTTCAAAAGTAAAGGAAATGCTTAATATTGTAATAGAGAATATATATCCTTAAACCCCTAGCTAGGACAAATTAACATAAGGACACCAAGAACATGACTTACCAATTACGCCCTCATCCACAACAGACATTAATATTGGATTATCATACATCAACATTTATATACTAATAGGGAAAAGAAGCAAATGAGATCCTAGAAACGAGATAATGTAATGCTTAAATTGCAATCAAATTAATGCTAAGCGATTTCCTTGTAAAAACTGCAAGTTGTAAATGGCAGAGAGCAATGTTTTAACGATTTCCCAAGAACCAAGTCCCTTTTATTTTTATTTCTTTCTACTTATTTTTGCAGCTCTCGCATTCTGATGGCTGATTGCGGTGCGCGGACATTAACGTGGGTCATTTTCGCCACACCCGAGAAAATCGCAATAATAAGTTTTCGGGCAGCGAAACAAAATCTGCAAAGCATCCTGGAAATACCACCCCAGAAAAAAAAGGAAGAGAATAGCCAGCAAATAAAGAGCGAAGGGCGAAAAGGACCCGAAAACAGGACCTCGGAGTAAGGAGAGCAAAAAATGGCCAGACCATTGTCAGCAGCTGGTCTTGATTACAGTTCGGACGTTATATTCATTTATTGCAAATAACAGTGAAATATTTTTTATTCCCTTGCTAGATCCAACGAAATGTTTGCAAAATAAAAGGAAAATGGTACAGAAAAATATGCGGAGAAAGGCGAAACGTTCATCAGGATTCACAGCATCCAAAGTCTGCCCCGGAATCGAAGTTATTAAGTGCAGCTGTATAAAGTTGTTAAAATTGCCGCAGTTTACGAGCGGCTATCGAGACGGAATGCCTAAAAAAATAAAGGAAAACGTGACGGACTCCCCCTAATTGCGTAACTCTACCCACTTTCCAGCTGCCCGTCTCCCTTTTGTCTTCTGTCTTCCATAATTTGCTGTCATTTTCACTAACATGACCGCAGAACATCGCCCAACAACAGCTTGGCATCCGGCAGGACGAGGAGCGAGGAGCGAGGAGCTGCTCCCGGCATCAAGTGTCGAAATAATAAACGAAATGCCCGACAGCGGCAATAAAACAATGCACCAGCAGGAGCAGCTTTCAAAAGGACAATGGGACAGGAAAATGGGAAATCTATAAATATTTAAATTATGAAATTTAAAAAGAAGAAATGTAATAAAAAAATTCCTATACATATGCTTAAAAATCAATCAAAATACCTTATCTAGTTTCCAAGTGTTTGCTTTGCTACCTTTTTAAAGAAATTATATTAATTTGACTAACAAAATACATTAACTGATTTATCAAACATCTTAATATTCTTGTTCTAGATCTTATGAATTGTGGTTTGAATATTTGAGTAGACTTTTCCACAGTGCTTTTGGCATCAGCAGTTGCAGGAAACATAAAATTTCCGACACATAGCCAAAGTCAACGCCATCGACGACGTCTATGAGATTGGCTTTGCCTGTCCCCTGAAGGACTCCCCGGACTCCTTGTGTTATGTTCTCCCATCGGACTCTGGGCAATTGTCGGATTGTGTTTTCGATGCAGCGAAGGACGACGAAGGAAGTCCTGGTCTTATTTTGCAGCGGAAATGCGTTAAAGCCAATGTCACGTGGGTAGGGGTGACAGTAATGGGCATGGGAAAAGGACTAGTCCGCTGTTGACTAACTCGCTGTCAAAACAGAAGGAAAGCCCCACCAAGCAGCTAAAACAAAGGCAGCGGCAGTAATTTAGCAACAACAAACAACAACTGCACATAACTACAAGGCAAACAGCAGCAGAACAAATGCGAAGTAAGCGCTGGCAAATAGACAGATAGATAACATGAACACAACGGCGCAAACACGGGCGAAATGGACCGAACGTCGCCTTCAAGGATATATGTCCTATATACACTATGCACAATGAGAAAAAACGGTTAGGAAATGGTTCAGATTTGAGCTGAAACTATTAAATGATAGGTTGAACCAATGGGTTCTTCGCCATACAATTTTCCTAGTAAAATCATAATTTTAAGTAACGTTTTTAAATATAAACAAGTAGCAAAAATGAGCTAACTTCGGGTCATCATAACTTAGTCAAAAGTGCATTAATTTCCATTCGAAAAGTATTACTAAGTTTTGTACTAAGTTTTTAAATTTAAAAAATTCAATTTTATGTAAAAATTTGACAATTTTAATGATGTAACCTTTTATACAATTTTTAAAATTTTGAAATTTTTGAATAAAATATAAATCAATTCAGCTTTTAAAGCTGATCAATATTATATATGGTTTATAGGGTCGGAAATCACTCCCTTCACTCCTGCTTTTTAAGCTCCTGACTGAAACTATAATATCCTTTACAGGTATACAAATAATTTATTTTATAGTTCTTTTTCCTCCCAGTGCATACGTGTATAAGTGCGAGTTGTCGGACAAACAAACAGGCAAACAACTATCAGTCACTCAAGGCAGTTGGCAAAGTGCTGCCGCCAGTTGGGAGTGGAAGTGGAAGTGGGAGTGGAAAATGGCGGAGGAAAATGGTAATGGAAATGGGCATGAGACCGGGGTAGGCAACTGACTGCAAAGAGTGTCTATTCCAAGGGTATTCTAAGGGGGTTTCGGGGGGGATTTTTCCTCACAGGAAAAACCACTTGCTTGCCTTGGAGGCCCCATCATCATCAGGTATCACAACTTTGTCGCCTTGTTTGGCCAATGAGACCGCAAAAGTGAAAGCTAAATGTTCGTTTCTATTTATTCTTAAAGTCAACTTTGTGGGCAAATGTTTGAGTTGTTATTATGAAATGTTTAGTTTGTGGTGATCTAACACAAACAGAAAATGGATCAAAAAGTTTACCGAAATGTCAAGGCCTCAAATATATAACTCAAAATTTATAAGAGTAACCAGTTTTCTCTCTCTGTTTATATTTTGAAATGAACAGAGCAAGCTCCTTAAAATAAAGCTAAGAATACATTAAAACTTGGCCATCTAAAAAGTTTGCCTTTTTAATATTTTTGCAATTTTAATTCTTTTTAAGCACTCGTCTCCTTGGCTCCTGTTCCTCAGTGTATGCAATATTCTTCAAGTTAAAGGCAGTATTTCTTCTGCTTTCCATCGTTTTTCCTTGGTTTTTCCTTGCCATTGTTCAGTAGTATCGAGTTGTTTGTGACTTTGGCTGTCTCACATGGGGTCATGCATGTGTTTACAAAACATAAAACAGCAACAAACAACGAAACACTGTCAGAAAGTTTGGCTCTGTCATTGTCAAGTTGCGCCCAAAAGTTTTCCCCACTCCGACTTTTCCTCCTCCAACCTCCTAGCGGCTTTTGTTCATTTTCCGAGCATACTTTTTGCTTTATTGAACTTTTTTACTTTCAATTTAACTTTCGAGTCCTGGAGCCTGGCTCCGGTCTCTGTCGCTTCGCTAATTCATTGTCGTCACTCATACGCCATGTGGGCCCATTCGAAAGGGAGAAGGGAGAAACCTGAGAGGGAACGTAAAGCTCCTCGTCGAGTCGTTCATTTGTGTCAATAAAGCAGAAATTAATTGAAATCTCCTCGTTGTCTCTGGCTTGCTGCCAGCCAATCATCAATTCAACTGTCTCTCTGCTTTTTCGGTTTTTCCTTTATGCTTTTCCTCGTCAGTTTCTGTTTTCCTCCTGCACTTTTTGGCCATTGGGTTACACATATGGAAAAAATGCTGATGCGGATGCTCGTCTCGTTATATTGACATTTCGCCACTCCAGAGTGACATTTAAAGCGTCTGCTCGATAATAAATCACATTGTCATATGCCAATGTGTTGTGCTTAAAAATGTTCCACCAAAAAGAAGTCAAATTTGACAGTTACACAGGGGGATATAATACTTTCCTCTCAGGGTTGAGTTAATTTTCTGATATTCAAAAGCTTATATCGTAATTTTATTTAACTTTTAAATGTAACTTTCAAATATTTCAAATGTAAAATCATAATTTCTGTTTGTGTAAACGCCTCAATGCCACGTTCTATTTGTTGTGTGTCTGAAATGACAAATATTTTATGTATTGTGTGTATGAATTTCCACACAAAAAAAAAACGAAAGAAAAGAAAAGAAAATAAACTTTGTTGGTGTGATGTTGTCGCGATAATGGCACATGTGTGGCATCCACATGGGATTCCATCTCGACTCAGGCATAAATCAATAAATTGAAGTCGGTAAGCAGAGATCCCAAAAAAGCTTAAAGTTTTTGCGCCTTTCCAGCTGACACTCTCTCTCTAGAGTAAATCCATATCACATTGATGTGCCACATTTACCATTCCATTCATTTTCCCAAACAAAACGATTTTTAACCACATTCAAACTTTCCATCGAAGAGAAACAAAAGCCCAACCGAACACAACAAGGTTTAATGAAAAAAAATTACCAAATATGCTGTGCTCGCCCCCAAGGCAATGTTATAAACTTTTCTTTTTTTTTTTGAGGGGGGAGTGCGCCTGAGAGTTTGTTCTGATAAATTATGCAGCACTTTGAAATTGAATTTCAAACTCTGCCACTAACTCATTTTGAGTGGAGTGAACGAAAGAGCATTTCAAGGGTCCTCAATCCGAGTCCAACAAATTGTTATTTATGTTATGTTATCCCTTCCACTCTGGCTTTTCTCTACCAAATTTGACTGCAATTAGATTTGCATACATTTCCATATAGACACTCCTACCCCGCCCCCTCAGTCACATCCCTACTCATGTCCTTACCAACACACACACACGCGGGTCTAAAAGGGACGAGCAGGAAGTGCCCCGAATGTCACACACACGTTGCTGTTTATGTTTATGTTAATGCTGTCTATCCCTTTGGGGTCTTTCGTTTAAATGCACTGAACGAAAAAGCTTTGAGAAATTAAATACATAAAATTTCCCTTTATATAGAATAATATTTTGATATTTGATGAGAAGGGAAATGGAAAAACATTGACGAAAAGGTTCATGACTTTAAGTATTTAAAACCTAATAAATATACATGATTTTTGGCAACCTAAAATGTCTTACAAAACCACTAAATATATAAACGAACACAAAAACCCAATGGATATATGTATTTTTAAATTTATAAAATAACTCACATTGGTCGAAAAATGATCATATATAAAAATCGATAAAAATCTTAAAAAATACGAATATTTTAGATCTTTTGGAGGGCATAAGAAGACCAAAAATCTACTCATTTCCAAAACTCATATATGCTTCCATTCGATTTTTAAATAGTAATAAAATAATTATAAAATATTGAGAAACAAAATTCTTTAATTTGATACCAATTTTTGAAACTTTTAAAAGGGTTTGAAATTCTCTAAAAAATGTAAAACTAAGTAGTTTATTAAAATTTTAAATTTAGTATTCCGTTTTATAAACCCAATGAAAACTAACACAGAATTGAAATTAATGCATTTTTGACTCAGTTATGCTTAATTTAATCTTTGATTTCTTCAATAAAATTGTGAATGAATACAATATTTATTATATTAATACTATATTGTTCGATATTTAATAGTTTAATGTATCAAAGGTTATGCTTTTTTCTATATAATACTTTTACAATAATTCTTTCTATGCATCAAAGCTTGTGCTATTTTCTATATATTATTGCTTGCAATATTTAAAGACCCGCTTTTGTTCAGTGTATACTTCTGTGGCAAGCATAAAAAGCTGGCATTCGCTTACCTCTTGACCTGGGGCATTAGTATTTGGGCGGTGTGCTTGAATGCCTCCACGCAGGTGCGTCGCAGCTTGCGGATCTTCTCGCGCAGCTCGGGGCAATCCTTGGCCTGGCCCACGTGTATCAGCATATCGCGGAAGAGCGCCACGTGGCTGTTGATCTCCATGATGAGCTAAAAAGGGGAGCAGACGATACAGATATAAAATATATATATATACAAACATATATCTAGACATTGGGGTCATTGGCGGCAACTGATGCCTAATTTATGCGAAAGCTCTATTAGGCCCGCACATAGCACATTACGTATTTTAATTTATGCACAACCCTCTCCAAGTATATATATATTGTGCCCAGCCGCTCGTCGGCTCGTTCACCCAGCAAATTTCTGGGAAATTTCTGTGAAATTCTCCTTCAGCCAGATAAGGACAAGAGTCCTGCCATTATGTTACTACGGCTCATTGCCACAACGGAGGCGGCAAATGAATCGAGCAATCGAGGCCTAATTCCTTTGCCTTCCGATGGTGTTTGGTGCCTTTTGCCTGCGGCCGAATCAGGCTCATAAAAATTAAAATGCCTGAAATGCAAAAGGATTATTCGAGCCCATTTTGAATGGCTCTTGGGTTTGGCTAGAAGGTTCAAGCTGTTGCTGGAAAGTATAATCAAGTCAATTATTATTGACTACATTCCATATTCTCAGGGCTTTAAGTTAAGTTTATGGCTGCTAGAAAGTAAATTTAAGAAGTTTTCTAGAGAATGCAACATTTAAGATGAACTTTCAATTAAAACAACACTTTCTATATTAAATAGAATGCTTTTATGAAAGTTTTCTTAAGCCAAATGCTCTTAAAAATAATTAATAATCTTCCTGGAGTAATACCTTAATTAATAACCTTAATACGGAAATACTTCTCATTTATTTACAATTCCCCGACTATGGCAACATAAGCTTTTCTATTCCTGAGCTATTTTTAATTAAATTTTGTTATTATTTTACCACCTCCGCCAGGTTAATTTTACAGTCAGTCATAAGCTTAATTTTCCGCATTACTCTCCCACACACACACACATGTGTGCTCTGCCACACACACCCACATATATATATTTCGGGGGCGTCACGTTTAAATATTAATGGTTGCCACATTTCCCCTCACCTTCCCCACCATCGCATCGCACACACTTCATTTAAAACGCGGCGTATGCGTAATTTTAATAATCCTCGAAACTCTGTAACGCCCCCGGCGAATGCAAAGTGAATTTTGTGGCTTGACTCAATTTTTGGGCGAACGACAGATGTGCGGGGGATTTGGGATTTACAGCTTTATGAAATATATGCATGATTAGTCATATTGATGGCATTGGCTTGACAATGCCACAGAGACACTGAAGGCGGCCTCGGAGAACAAAAGAGAGGCAGGAGCACTTAGCCAAATTGCTTATTGAAAGTGCTGGTGCTGCTGCCCCCAAAAACTTTGCCCCCATTCCGGGTGGGCGGAGTCATGGTTTTGTAATCATTCCCAGGAAAGCCTACACAAACTTTTCCCCCCATCAGCTGTTGCCCCCGCCGACTTGATGTGCCCCAAAAAATATTTATTGGATTCATTGTTATTCCCAGCTACGGGCTTTGATATTGACAAAGAGCAAGGGAACATCGATGCGGAATGTGGATTTGATTTTAAACAAAAAATGCAAATTCTCCTAGCAGGCAGCGGGGGATTCTTCAAAAGGGTTGAGGAAAGATTAAAAAAAAAAAAACAATAGGATAAGGTAAGGTTTAGAAATATAACAAAGCAGGATACTAACTTGGGGAATACGAACCTATTTACCTTTGAAATTTAATTAATAATTCGAATCGGAAATCAATCATAACTAACGATATTAATTAAAATTCTTAAATGAGAAATTTTAGGTAAAATCCAATTTTAAAAAAATTCATAACTATGCCAAAAATGCAGTAATTTCAATTCGGAAACCTTTCCAATGCTTGTTTTTAACAGGGCAATAAAACTGCATAATCAATTTAAAATGTTAAAAAATTAAAATTTTTGTCGATTTTTGACAATTTTAATGATGTAACCCCTTAACATTTTTTGCAAAAATGGAACAAATTAAAAAAAAAAATTTTTCGACCGGACATAGCTAGATCGATTCAGCTGTTCATGCTGATCAATAATATATATGATTTATGGGGTCGGAAATGCCTCCTTTACTGCGTTTTAAGCTGCAGACTAAAATTAGAATGCTGCAAAGATAAATATTTTGAATTAAAGACAAAACCTTTTAAAACAAATGTCAAGGAGGTAAATGCTAGAGTTGAATATATGTTTTAGTAATTTACTAAATTACTTTCTTAAAGCTACAATCTCGCCAGGATATGTATATGAGCCCTAAAATGTTTAATTAAATACTTCAATAAGACATAGTCGCTTGGGGAACGCCACACAAAAATCCCGTCTCCGTTGCTACCTAATTATTTGTCCTGCTTTTTTGATTCACCTGCCCACCAAGGACAGTGAGTCCCATAAAATATACCACACACACTCGGAAAGACGCAGGTATAAGCTCATAAAAGCCACACGCATAAATTTTATATGACGCTTAAATCTCGGCAGATATAAGGACACAAGGCGAGTGAGCGAGGGAGGAGCAGCGGCAGGGATTGGCATTGCAAAAAGTTCATGCAGCACATGCAAATCCCAAATGTAAACGCCTGTCGCCTTCGTCCTGCGGGGCAAAGGTCCTTGGGCTGGCATAAAAAGGGACAGCCGAGAGCCATAAGAGCCAGTGCTAAACCAAAGAGAGAGAGAGTCAAGTCCCAGCGCAAAATAATACAAATGCGCAAAAAAATCCGAGTACATTTCTGAAATTACCTGACCACACACACACACTTACACACTCTTTGGGTGTGGAAAATTCATTTATACAAAGCTGAGGTATATTCAATTCCCCTCGGTGTTCTTGGTCAGTAATGAGAGCAGAGCTTAATGGCAGCAGCCACAGCTAAAAAGTATGCTACACATGTGAGGAATAATAAAGGCAGCACGGTAATGGGGAATCCCCCTATTCGGGGCATGCATATTCATGTGAAACTGCTGGGCACTGGACTTGGGGGGGGGTAAAGGGAAAATGTTGTTTTATTATTCTTTGGCTGGCAAGCAACCACTTTGAACTACTTTTGCGTCAACAGTTGAGGCGGAAAATTGAAAAACAGCTGCTGGCGTGCTAGCTTGCTGTGAATTTAATGCAACAAAAGCAACAATGCACTTAAAAATATAGGGAAATGCTTAGGACATGTAAAGAAAATTAAACTTATAGAGAATGAAATTAAGAAGAGTTAGATTGTGATTTACTAAAAGGTACAAGTTATGTAGATGGACTATTATCAAACAATTTTTGATATCTCTTAGTATATAGTAAATAGCTTTATACATACAGATTTGTGAGGATAGACAACCAAGAAATAAAGATATCTATTAAAAAAAAAAGAAAACCACTACCTATAATAAAATTAATAATAGTTTAATAAATATTTAATTAAAAATATTTAATAAATATTTACACTATCAAACCAAACGACTGTTTATAAATAAATATATACATTTTTAAATAAAAAAATCTAGTATTTATAATAATAATTATACTATCATTAATACCATTGACTTAAGTAATCTTTTTTAATAAATCCACAAAAGTAGACATAATTTTCCCCTCTGCATTTGCATACATGCTGCGGTTGTTGCAAGTAAAACTTAGGACTCTGACAGCTCCTCCTCCTCCCCGTCCTGCTCCTGCTTCTCCAGCAGTTGGCCAAATGTGTAAATCAGCAAAAAAACGCAAATGCCACAACGCCAAGAATAAAAAAGACAAAGAAGCCCGCGGGGGGAGATGAGATAAGATGGCATGGCGGGTGGTGGGTGGTGGCAAAATGAAATGGAATGAGATAAGAGACAGGAGACAGAAGACGGGAGGAGAGGGTAAGGAAAAGCAGGGAGGGGAAGGAAAACTAACACACAAAAGAAAGCGGCGGCGACGACAAGTTGAACTGAATCTAGACAAAGTGAAAGCGGAAATTAAAATTGCAATACAAAAGAGGGGAACCCACAAAGACAAAGACAGACAGCGTTTGTAATGAACAGATTGTGTGTGTGTTTAGCAAGTGTGTGAATGTGTGTGTGTGTGGACGAAGAGTCCTTTGAATGCATTTTAGAATACAATATTGCCCAGGGCCAGGAAATCACAATGGCCAATGTGCGAGGTGTGAATAACAGGAAAGAAACTTAACAAATTACAAAGCTGCCATTACACACACTGCATGTTTTTTAGTCCTTGAAACTTGCCACAAATAAATAAATGACCAAGATGAGAGAAAAGTTCTTCACTCAGCGGCCAGCTAATAAATACCATGTCCATTAAGGACGTGAACTGCAAAAATAAAACTCAGATAATGCGCTTCTCACACATCTACAATCTCCTGATGTCCATCGAACAAAAGCCTGGGGCAATTACCAGGACAAAAGTGCAATGGCAAAACGCATTAGCCAGCGAACCAACAAGTTCAACTCTAGAATAATTACCATCGAACTGGGTGGGGCAGGATCCTAGGCAGGATGCAACCAACTATCCAACTGTCGACAGGTTTCTGGCCCATCGCTTGTCGACAGGTCGTCCAGCTTTCCCCTTTGTGGGCCAAACAAAGGTTCGTTACAGTGTATAAATGTCAGACAGCGTTTTGAAATCGCTTTGCACTTGGAGAAATATTTTTAAACTTTTAGGTTTTTAGTTAAATATCTTTGGAATTTTTTAAAATATATAAAAAGCAAGATGAAGCTTATAAAAAATATATTATTAAATGTTTAAAGAGCTCAGGTAAAGTCTGTGATTGCATATTGTTAGGGAGAAGCTAGGAAGTTCCTAATATTACTCAGAAGCCTTTAAAACTCTTTTTCAAATACAATATTCTTAATATTTTTCATTTGAATTTCTTGTAATACCAAACTATTTCTCTCCGTGCTCTAACAACTTGCAACAGGAGTCAGCAACAGCAGTGCAACACACAATGCAGCAGCTGTGCAACAACACACTGCCAATATCGATGAGGGCTCAATGTGTGTGTGTGTATGTTTGTACGCGTTCGGAGGCGTTGGTGTGTGCCACAAAGCTCCACTTGGCCGGCAGCAACAATAAAAGAAGGGAAGTGCCTAGAACAACCATCGAATCGCAGCTGCGGCAAAGCGACGGTGATGAAAGTCCCCCCTCGGACCAGGACCACGACCACGACCACGACTCCAGATGCCGCAGAAAGCAATTTGGCTTGAACTGACGTCCTTTGTTAGATCACATGCAACACAAATGAATGGGGAAATACTTAAAAAACGATTTTAGATTAAGCTTACTCCTCTTATAGATTTATACTCAATGAATTGCAGGTAATGTATATTCATTTGTATGAGTATATAAAATACTTGTAATAATTTCTTTCCAGGAAAATCCTATTAAGTTTGGAAATCTTACTCAAATATATAGCAAATCATTTAGCTTAATATTTTCTCTTTAATAAATTCAGAACCCTACTTCATATCTTTAACAAAACTCTTACCCTTTCCCGCATTCCCTAAGATAACCTTCATTTTGGCGGCAATTGCACAGTCTTTTCAAGTCATTTGCGTAAGTGATAACAAAAACTTGTAATCCACAAAATCGATAAGATGTCCGCCTAGCGAGAGGACGAGACGAGGCATTTATTTGCTCCTTGACAAGGAGTGGGGCCACTATGGGCCTTTAGTGGTCTCAATGGCTGGCGATTACGGCAATGGGTTTTTGGGGGCCAAAGGAAGGAGTGTGTGTGCTCCTCTCGGTTTACATTATCAATCAAGCTGACTGACAATCGACGGATACCTTGCAACTTATATTGAGAGTGACACAAGCGGAGAATCCTTGTCCTTGAACACGATCCTTTGTTTAGGCCACGCATTTTTATTGCGCAACTTTCTACCCCCAAAAATGCCTTTTGTCCTTCAAAACCTACAAACACACGCACTCGGACAGAAGAGACAAATGTTTGCCGCTAAAGTTAAGCACAAGTTTTCAGTTTTTATTGAGGTCCTGCGGCCAAGGACCGCACAGCGGAGCTGCCCCAGTGACAGGGTCGCACTAAGCATCTACACAAACATGCCATGCATTATTCCAAAATTAATGAAGATGTATTGGCGGCTGTTCCAAAAGTGGGAGTGCTCATTTAATGAAAATTGGTTGTAGTTCTCTTTTGGCCACGCGGCGCTTCTTGAAAAACTGCAGTGGCCATTTCCAAAAATATTATTTCCACTCGAGTCCAAGACAGAGAGCCATTTTTCTTGAGCCAAAAAGCAGGGAGCCTGGGGCCGAGTCCTCTCATCAACGCCAGTCACTCTCCCCTTTTGGGTTTTTTTTTAAAGCAAAAACATATTGAAACACACAAGAAAAATGTTATAAAGTTAAGAGTAAAAATATATAAAAGAAAAAGGATACAAATCAAAAAACTCACTGTTAATTGCCTTGGGAAATGTCTAAGGAAAATATTCTTATATACTAATTATACTATGAAATGTAAGAAAATCCCCATTTTCTTTCAGTGTCTTGGGCGTAGTCAGGGGTGGGCGTGGCTCTATGCGTGCACTGTGAAAGGAGAGAGGCTGCCTCGTATAAAAGTGCTTCATTACTTTGCGCAACAGCTCGCGAGAATATAATGAATGGCAATAAACGTGTTTCACATTTTCCTCTTTCGCTGCCGAGTCCGCCCTTCGTTTTTCCTCCTCCTTCTCTCTTTTTTTTGCAGCAACATTTTTCATTTTCCAGCTAGACAACTTTTGGTGAACAAGAGAACCGGACAGAGTTTGAACTAAAAGTAGAGTAAGAGGTCCTTCTGGCACTCAATAGAATCCTTTCAATAATTTCCCACTGCTTTTAACTTCAATATAGAACCATATGCCTGGCGTAAGCTTGTTTTCCGCTCAATCTTGTTATTATTTATTTCCTGAACCGAATGGAGCTGCACTGCAAGAAATGACCGGAAAAAAGAACTTAATTGCAGCACACTTTAAGGTGCCGTTCAAAGCTTCTTTTCGTCATTTTCCAAAGGATTTAACTTTGCAAATTGGAATGGAAATTCATTAGTGCTTGCATTTAAATTCCAATAGACAAACTCAACACTTTTCCTTAAAAGCAAAGCAAAAGAATTCTAGGAAATGGAAAACGCAATTTGAAAATCGTTTGAGGTTTGGCAAGTTGGAAAACAAGCTTCAACTTTCGCTTGAATGCAATAAGCTGCATGTTTAAGTAGAAATCCATAAAGTGAATAAAGAAGAGAAAATTATTGAATATCCAAGATGCCTGAGAAAAGCATTTTGATTTTCCGTTTGATGATTAAAAGATTTTTTTGCCAGAAATCAAAGAAAGGTTAAACTCTTGATTTTCAAAGCCTTTTAATTATAATCTAATAATTCTAATAAATTATTTAGAATTTCCCTGTACTCACTGTATTCAGATTGGTGATCTTGTCCAGCTCCACAGCCGTGCTGCCGCGATGGTGGTGCAGGTGGTGCAAATGGTGGGTCGTCAACATGTTGCCTCTGTTGCGGTTGCCGTTGCTGCTGCTGCTGCTGATGTTGCAGTTGATGTTGCTCTTGCTGTTGTTGCTGCTGCTGCTGCTGTGGTTTTTGTCCTTGCCACATTCAATCGGAGGACATGGCTCATCGGTAAGCTGAGGTCAGAGGTCAGAGAGTATCTGCAAATCGCGACAAGCGTCGCTGGATTCCAATCACATCACATGGACTGTGCCCAGCATCTGCAAAAAGCGTGACAAATATTAAGTGGAATTTGCATTGAAATTGCCCATATAGATCGGCGAGAGACCGGAAATCGTTGACACGCCTTTCCGGCCCCTTTGGGGAGAAACATTTTCGGTTGGCGCCGCCGATTTCCGCCTCTGATAGATTCCTTTTGAGGGTTTTAGTTTGCCTGCCATCGATTTTCAGTTTGTTTTTTTTTCTGTTCCTCTAGCAAATCTCAACCGGATGCGGATGCGACAGTTGGCCACCACCACTCTCGGCTTTTTTCGGTGTTAACACTTCATTTGGCTTTAAGCGACTGGACTGGCTGCCACGTGGCCACAAGTTCGTAGCCCCAGACCATTTTCTCACCCCTTTGACCTGCTCAAATAAACAAGAGTCGAGCTGGTGTCAAGTGAAATGAAATTAAACTCAACTCTTGATGCAGCCAAGAAGGTTGAGTTCATTCTGACTCAGAAAGTTGCGCCAGGGAACAGCTTTAAGTTGTCTAAGAACAACAAAAACGGTAAGAAATTGCTTTACTATATAATTTCTGCATAAAACGATGAAATTATATTAAAAAGAAAACACAAACTGAACATGACCCAAGTAGCAGATGCAACCGCTACACCAGCAGCAGCAGCGGAAAAGTCGGAAAACTAAACAAACAAATACTCGTAATACACAGGCTAAGACCGAAGGTAAATTGTTTGCTTAACATAGTAGAACCAAGGACGAAGATGCTGCAAGTATCTGTTTGATTTGTGTCAGTCAAGTCGCTCAATTTACCAACACACAAACAGCCCTGAAAAACATTCTATGGAAAATCATTTCAATAAGCATTGAATGAGGAGAAGAAAATGTTCAATAATCAAATTAATAACCATTCATAAATATTTAACAGTTCGATGGGTTGGTATCGTTTCTTTAGAAATAAATTACACTTATTTTGATTTACTAAATATTAAGAATATATTACAAAAGCTGACACAGTTTGTTTAAAGTTTAAGCTGGTAATTCCTTAAGAAACCTTTTCATAAAATATCCTTTAATATATATATTTATCTCTGACAAATAAATACAATTTTCCAGCTCTCATTGTTTACCATTATTGATAACGGAAAATTGCCTGGTGTAAACAACACTTTGAAAGACGGAAATAAAATTAATTTCCGGTTGGAAAATTAAATTTTCATAACAAGTTCCAAGAGGCCATTAAGCACCTTCAGATGCGACTCAACATTTATGCCTGCGCCACCGTAAAATGCAACTGATAAGACCCAAGTGCGGCTGTGTTGGCTTAGAGTCGCACTTTTCCCGGAAGGATGTCGCTGCTTTGTTTGGCATCGAGCGTGGAAAAAGAAGGACGAGCTGCGTGCTCGGCATGGAAATGCGCCTCATTAAGCCGCCAAGCCACCGCGTTGGAAAATATGCCGAGCAAGGATTAAGCGACGATGCCGGCGACAAAATGGCGCGCCGACTATTAAGGATATTCACCAGCCTCCGCCTTCTCCTCGTTTTGTGTATATTTCCATTCCTGTTGCTGTTACAGTTAAGTGTAATTAAAAACTTAAATGAAGAAACACATTAAATGCGCTGCATTTATGAAACATTTACGCAAATCTGATGCAGATGAAGTTCTGCTTAATTGTCTGTGTGCGTCTGGGTGCCGATTTAAAATAATTTCACTGCGTGCCACGCGGCGTATACGCAATATGCGAGTGTGCCACTGGGGCGTATGAGCAATATCAGATGCTACCACCAAAGGCGGTGGGAAACATTTCACATATATAACAGATATATAGTATTTAGTAGAGATGTGTGAGAAATATATGTACGTAACAACAGAACGCCATAATCCTGTGAAATAAAACCATTCTTAATGGCAACAAGCCAGCAAATGTGAATGCGAATGCATGTTCTGTTCACTGGCTGGGAATTAGCCTCTCAGTCTCGACACTCTGCCAGACATGCCAGAAACTCATTAGCTTTATTACCCAGACACAGCCTGTATTCCTTCCTACTCCTCACCCGAAAAAAAAGAGGAAAAACTGAGGAGGCGGAACAGACAGAAGGAACCGCAGGACCAAGCATTTTGTATTAACTATTCATGTTCGCACACAGTCACTGGGACTCACACTCGCACTCACTCTCATTCACATTCACTCATATAACCACTCTGTGTGTCTCAAAACACATTTGAATAATTTTGACAAATGTGTGATTAATTCAAACATTTTGGCAACTTAGATTGTCATTCTTTATGCGAGTACTACAGCAAATTAGCACTTCATAAACACGAAACGCCGAATCATTATATTTAAATCAAATGATATGCTGAAAAACAGTTTAGCTTTAAGCAAAAGTAATAGTATTCTTTAATAACTTAGATTTCTAGCAAAGTCAAAATTCCTACTACAAATATGAACTAGACGACGACATTTACGATTCCTGAACTGGCAAATTTCCATTCAAGTTCACACAATGACTGCCTTGATTGGGACTTGGCCGATTAAAGACCCTGACAAAGTGAAATTTATGGCACTTGCCACACTTGCCACTTAAAGCTAAACGGTGGAAGTCTCTCTGAGTGCATAAGGCCACCGAGTAAAATATGAAACAAAAATCAAGCAGGACATGGGTGTTGGCAGGCAAGAGGACCAGGCCAAGACCAGGACTAGAAAAGTGCACAGAGCAAATAAAAGTGGCGGTATAAAAGAGTCGCATGCCGGAAACGACAAACGACAAAGAGGGCTAAAAAGTGGGGGGAAGGGAGGAGCAGCCTAATGCCAATGCCAACACCGGATGCGGATGTGTGACACATGGCCAAAGGGGCGATGGCGATGGCGATGGCGACTGGCGACTGGCAACATACGCACAATGTCATTGTCGTTGGCTTTAAGTAGGCGACTTTATTAACGCCGAGGACACCGAGGAGAGCACCTACCGAGTGTGCACAGAGTGCAAAACGCAGCTGAAACACAAATGGCAAACCATTTTAGAAGGGGGTAACAATAAGGACTGTGGAAGTAAAATTCAGGAATAAAATTTAACATTTTAAATTAGATTAAGAAGGTATATAAAGAAAGCAAATCAAGTACAGGTTTAAGTGCCAGAAAGTATTTATAACTATTAAATATATATATCACTTGAAACTAATTCTTAAATAGTTTGACAAAGAATATAAGTTTCTGTTCCAAAAGTATTTTCTTGTCAAGACAACATATTAAATGCATTATTATTTATATTATTATTCTAGAATTATTATAGATAACGTAAACTATCTTCATATATCATATATACTGCACTGTTCCTTCCGATATTCATATGTATGTAATTTTTAAATTTGTCAACTTTTTAAGACTTCCTAACTCACAAACATTTGCACTTATTAACTTTCGTTTTCTTAACGAACTTGCTTAAATTCCATCTTATTATCCATGTCTCCAAGTGGCTCTAAATTTCCCGCGAATCGTTTAAGGACTATTCCCACTGTGCACCTGGCGAAAATAAAGAGCGCGAGAGAAACAAATGGCATAATAGGCCGGCAGGACACCTGGGCACGTGTTGGCTGTTGTTATTCCGGCCGACCTTGCCACCGACCACCCACCCACCTGACATAAAATTAAGCGACTGCCCCTGGCCCCCGTCTTCGTCTTGGGCTTAGGGAAAGGTCGTTTATGGCATGGCCACAATTTGTTGCTTTTTGATATTTATTTAGACGCGACCGGGCCGCATGTGAAATGAAAAGCGCCGCCGAGCAGTGAGGACATAAATCAAAAGCACAAGACCGACGAAAAACGTGAAGGAAAATCCGCAGCGGAAAAGGGAAGCCGGCACAACAATGGCAAGCTTTTCACGTTCAGGTGCAGAGAGAGAGCGGCTTAAACTGGTTATTTATGGCTGGGCCAGAAGAGTTGAGTCTCCCTTAGATTTAAACTGTATAGAGTAAACATTCCTTGGAAACTCGATTTATTGAAAATCAAGGTAGCATAAGTAGGCTATTCGAAGGCAGTCGCATTGCTTTTTATAATTTCCAATTAGTTTTGGTCAGTTTTGAATCTAGAACTGGTCAAAGGTGCAGGGAACTGCAAGGAATTAATTTGGAAAATAATGGACCTGAGCAGCGATGACAGCGATTCATCTTTCGGGAATGGGAGTCCCCTCACCACCAGATCCACGAGTGCCTCCAGCGACACCAGCAGCGTGAGCTCTGTGAAATCAAAGTCCTCATCCAGCGAGGAGGAGAGCCGCTTTCCGAACAGCAACTACGATGTGAGTAACTTGTGATTCCACCAATTAAATGGCATTAAATAATTTAATCACCGAATCACAGATTATCACCGAGGCCAACTTGAAGCAGTTTGTGCAAAGGGTCGACAAGCTTGCCGTGCTGGACGATCAGGCAGTCGATATGTTGGCCAAAATTGCCGATGTCTTTGTTAACGACGTGGCCCGGAATGTGGTCAAGTTGGCCCATTACCGAAAGGATCGGATGAGCATGTTGGACCTCAAGTTTACCCTGAAGCGTGAATACAATATGGAATTTCCCCACGAAAATGTAGAAGAGAAAAGGAAGGATAATACTATTCAAAAATATTATTATTAAAAAAGCTAGAAAAATGTATTCGCAAAAATAAATGAACATTAATATTACTACCCAAGACAATGTACATTTAAGTTCTTAATTTCTTAAGCTGCTTTAAAATCATTTAAAAAGTTCAATTAAAAAAGCACAAGTACTGCAATTGCACCGCAAACTCAAAGAACCCATTCAGGTGCCAGTGAAAGAGGTATGTATTCCTGATGGAAAATTGTAAACCGGATCATGATTAAGCAATTAATAAATTCAATAGCGACTGTCGAGGACACCGACATACACATTCAATAGCCCCAACAAAAGAGGTCATCATGGTCTTGGCCACACTTCACCGCACTCTGGACTCTCGCCTTTCAGCCGGGAATTACTCAACATAAAGTTAAAGTGCCATAAAAATGCCAAGGCACATAATGCCATACCACCGCACTCATACTCATACTCACACTCACACTCATACTCACACTCATACTCATACTCACACTAAACACTCACATGTGTACCATTTACACACATGAACAAGCAACTGGGTATTTTTTTCCTCAGGACCCTTTTGCCTTAAAAAAACGAGGAAGAAAACTAAGGCGGAAAATTCGTGAGCAATTTTTTTGTGCTGCAGGAAGAATAAAGAATACTTTTTGGTCGGCCCTGAGCACGTTGTGTAAATGGGGGAAAAAATGACATACTACTTTTCCTTTTTGCCCCTTGAATAAACCAGTATTTATGTATGCAGCAGATGATCCATATTTATTTAAATAATTATATGCCAAAAGAAACTCTGTCTTTAGCACACTCAATATACATATAAAGTCCCTGTATTTTCTATTTTATTTCTACTGCATTTGAACAATCAATAAAAGCAATTGTGAAGAAAATCTCACACATTTTATTTAGTTTAGCTTTAACAAGAAATAAAGATAATTAAAATACCAAAATGTGGTTAGATGAGAATTAAATGATACTTTGAATTTATAAAAAGCTTAAAATAAAGATATAAAACCATATTAAAGAGTTTATATAAACTGACATTTATTGAAAATAAAATTTAAAATGGAATACGATTAAAATGCAAAAATTAAATATAAATTAAATAAAGCAATATTTATTCTTTAAACAATAAAAGAGTCAGCAGTTTATTATAAACCGAATTAAATTATTTTTAATTGCAACAAAAAGAAAAAATATTTGCCTTTGGGAAACCGATGTTTGTTTACTCCTGTTTTTTGATTCTGGAAACCATCATAACTATTCCAAAAATCCATTAAATTCAATTCGGAAAGCTTCTCTGTGCTAGTTTTTTTTTAATGTTCATATTTCTGCATACGGAGTTTTAAAATTAAAAATTTCAAGATTTTGTCAAAAATTTGACAATTTTAACGAAGTAAGTAAGTAAACTTTCAAAATTTTGAAAAAATTAAAATGTATACCTACATAACTAGATCGATTCAGCTGGCGATGCTGATTAAGCATGTATATGAATTATAGATTCGAAATGACCCTTTTACTTAGTAATTAACAATGATCAGTGAATATCTACATATGAGCATTAAGTAACTCTGAACAGTAAGTACCTATTAACATTCAGTCAGTAAGTATCTATGACCAGTAAATACTATGTATGATCAGTTACTAACTTTGAACACAAATAAACAATGACTTGCACTTTTTGTAACACAACACATTTCTGATACTTGGCCGGCAGCAGTCACTTCGTTCCGGGGATGTTTGAACCAGTTGGGAATCATATGATAGGATGATTAACTATAAACAGTAAGTATCTATGGCCAGTAATTAACTATAACCAGTAAGTATCTATGATCAATAAGTATCAATGAACATTAAGTAACTCTGAACAGTAATTATCAACGAACATTAAGTAACTACGATCAGTAATTATCTATGACCAGTATGTATGTATGATCAGTTACTAACTTTGAACACTAATAAACAATGACTTGTAACTTTTGTAACAACACATTTCTGATACTTGGCCGGCAGCAGTCACTTTGTTCCGGGGATGTTTGAACAAGTTGGGAATCATATGATAGGATGATTAACTATGCATAGTAAGTATATATGGCCAGTAATTAACTATAACCAGTAAGTATCTATGATCAATAAGTATCAATGAACATTAAGTAACTCTGAACAGTAATTATCAATGAACATTAAGTAACTATGATTAGAAAATATCTATGACCAGTAAATACGAATGATCAGTTACTAACTTTGGACACTAATAAACAATGACTTGCAACTTTTGTAACAACACATTTCTGATACTTGGCCGGCAGCAGTCACTTTGTTCCGGGGATGTTTGAACAAGTTGGGAATCATATGATAGGATGATTAACTATGCATAGTAAGTATCTATGGCCAGTAATTAACTATAACCAGTAAGTATCTATGATCAATAAGTATCAATGAACATTAAGTAACTCTGAACAGTAATTATCAATGAACATTAAGTAACTATGATTAGAAAATATCTATGACCAGTAAATACGAATGATCAGTTACTAACTTTGGACACTAATAAACAATGACTTGCAACTTTTGTAACAACACATTTCTGATACTTGGCCGGCAGCAGTCACTTCGTTCCGGGGATGTTTGAACCAGTTGGGAATCATATGATAGGATGATTAACTATAAACAGGGAGTATCTATGACCAGTAAGTAGGAATGATCAGTTACTAACTTTGAACACTAATAAACAATGACTTGCAACTTTTGTAACAACACATTTCTGATACTTGGCCGGCAGCAGTCACTTCGTTCCGGGGATGTTAGAACTAGTTGAGAATCATATGCACAGATGTGCGAGATTTGTTTTGGAACAAATTTAAGCTATTTGAATGAATTTATGGAGTTATCCTTCTATATAATTTTACAAGTATAGATGTCGGAGCATGGCGAAGCGGTGGACTATATATATACATATGTATTACATATATATAAAACTGAAAAAAGTTATAACTTTTTCCCTCACTTTTTTCAGTTTTTCATCAAATTTAAAATATATCCAATATATATTAAATTAGAATTGTGTGTATAATTTTATGAAAATCGGACAAACGATCGTTAAAATAGAGAAAAATGCAAAGCGGTAAATGTAAAACTGTAAATATAAAATGTTTAGGTGAATGAAATCAAAGCAGGCATTACTTTATTGTTTTTTAACATAAATATATATAATTTATATCGTATGAATCCCTATTGATTGAATTTCAATCTGCAAGTTAGTTTCCTTTCTTGCTTCATTTTCATATAGATCAACTATAGTAAATTTTCGTATCTCATAGCTTTAAGCTTTCATTACATTTCGAACCGCCCTCGAGGCAGCCGCAAACGTTCGCAATCATAATCCGAGAACGACACATTGGGGCACATTTAAACTGATTTCATATTGGATCAGCAAGTGTCTCTCTGCGTGTGAGTGTGTGTGTGTGTATATGGTGTGTATGGAGTGTGTGGTGGGTGTACTTTCGCCCAGGACAACCGCAGCGAGTAGCAGGAAATTCGTTTGCCGTATGTCTTGGCACGCACGCGGACAAAATCGGTACGGAATCGAGCCGTCGAGGATTTCATGGAGACGAAATTATAATGAATTTGTCGTGCATACATTTCCAATGCGTGACTCTCACTCACACACAGACAGTCAGTCTGGCCACGCCCCCTCCATCAGGGTGAGGACCGCCCCTCGATTTTGGCTTGGTTCCTCCGATGGATCCAAGGAGATAAGCAGTTAAGTGACTTTGTCCTGACATGGCCCACGGAGTATGAAATAAATACGAGTCCTTCGCCCGCCGCTGTTGACGTTGTTAATATTGTTGTTGTTGTTTCCGTTGTGTATTGGTAAATAAATTGAATTAAAGTGAAATCAGTCGCCTCTGGCCGTAATAAATTAATGAAAACGCTAGACTAGGCGTCAGAATAAAATATGAGGCATGCGGCGGAGAGAGAGAACCAAAATTGAGTTATCAGCATAAATCAAAGGGAGTATTTATAGCCGAATAATGATTATGTTTTGGGGACTGATCGAAATGGTGAATTAATTTTTATAAATCATACTAATGGGTATTTAAGGATAAATGATTTTTGAACAGAGGAAACGGGAGTAAAGGGAGGTGTAAGAAATTATATTTATATATCAATAGTAAGTAATAATTAAACCACAAATCTCTCTCCATATCGATATCTACATTATATATTTCTATCATCCCTAATAAAGATGTCCCATTGCTTGCACTTGCAGCTTAAGAGAGTTTACAACACAAAATCCTTTTTAATTAAATTCAAGTGTTGTGCGACCCCTTCTGCATGTCAAACGCAAAAGCAAAAGCGGAAACTTCCTCATTTCCCCATCCTTTGGGCACAAAAATTTCAAAGAAATTTGCAAGTTATTCATGGAAACCTCGGCCTCAAGCTAAGGCTGCGTCTATGGGGAAAACTTGCGTTGAGTGATATGTTACCAAAGAGTTGTCGCTGGTTCCGGCCAAAAAAAATATATATATAAATGTATTCTTACCCAGTTTCCGGCCAAGGTCAATGAGTGAGTAAGTGAGTGGCTGCAATGCGAAACCAAACTTAAGGCTATTGGGAAACCGAAACCGAATCCGATCCAAGCAATGCCAAGTCCCAAAATGAGAAAATAATCAATGCCAGTTGATTACCATTCGTGGAGTTTGCCAAACTCACTTGCCGAGATGATGAATCAAGTTAATGAACTAAGTGAATTGGAAAAGTTTTCAACTTTTTGAGTCGGGCTTAAGCAAATCGAGGATGCGAGCACATTTGATGTTGGCCTTGGTAACATAATGCTTTGACTGCTCCACAAAAAACATACTTGAGAAAAGGGTTTCACTTGAAGTAATATTTCACTTTAAGTAATATTTCTCTTTAATAATAATGCATAATAATGTTCTTATTTCCATTAAATTGAACCTAATTTTTCTGGCTAAACATAATATTTTGAATGTAATCTCAGTTCCATTAACAACTCAAGTGTCAGCTTCTGAGATCCCCTATAAAAATGGA